CATCACACGGTATTGCCAGAGACCTTGGTCATAACTAAATGCAGTCTTAGATTTATATGCTTCAACCATTTTCACTTAATAGAAACCTGACTTTAAGTCCAGAGCTGAAAATCATATGGCTCCACTTAGGGCATCAAAAGTATCATAAATTCTGGACAGTGGGTATGATTCTGTTATGGTTATACTATTAAGAGCCCTGAAGTCCACACAGCAACGTTGGGTCTCATCCTTCTTCTGGACTAAAATGACGAGAGCAGGCCAGAGACTATCTGATTTCTCGACTATCCCTTCCTTAATTACGCAATCCATGACCTTCTCCATCTCTTGTCGCTTTGCTGGAGCTTTTCTCCATGGAGGGATCTTTATTGTACGGCGATTGCCTGTGTTTATTCTGTGCTCCACAAGGTCTGTACAGCCGAGGTCATAATTTCCTTTTGAAAAGATGTCTGCAATATTTGCCAAGAGTTCTCTAACCTGAAGAGTTTGTGATGATGACAAATGGACTATGCTCTTCTTATAGAGGTCAGTTAAATGTTCTGGGAGTGGATGTCCTTTCTTTATTGTTGTATTTCTTGCCTTAACACTGACTGGCTCTACCTCCTGGCACATACCCAACAATGCCCCTTCCTTAAGTGTCTGCTCACATTTAGAGAAATTGGCCACTGTTATGGGTACTATTTGATGACCTGCAACAAGTGACCTTCCAATCTTCACGTCCACTGGCCTGGATGGGTCTTCCACTTCTTCCACAAGCATCGGGCTTCCTTGGGGATATTCTTTTATTTTACCCCAAATTATTTTCTCAGACATAGGGGGTATTGTAGTTGACTTAAGTGCTGTGAAATGCAAATCATCAGAACCAGCAACACTTGCCAGAATTTGGCCTTTGTTGTTCCCAAACGTCATTTTATCGAAGTTAACTACACACTTCCTCGGTAGCAAGTAGTCCAACCCTAATATGCATTGGTCTTCAATGTGAGCAAAGTATACTTTGTGTCTGTCCTTCAAGCCCATGAGCTCAATAGTTACACACATTGGTCCCCACAACCTTGCATAATGTCCTGTCACACCAAAGAGCTTCTGTTTGGCTTTTGGTACTCTTTTGTGATCAAGCATCTTGATACTCACAAGGGTTTGCTGAGATGCAGAATCTATGACAAATTTTCACTTTTGGCCATCCAGCTTTCCTGTCACATAGACACTGTGTGTGCTTGCCATTTTACACTTAGCTGTTGGGTCTTTCACAATGGGGTCGGTGGGCGTCCCTCAGCACCAACCACTACTCCAACGTTGAGGTTGGCTTTTCTGCTACAATTTGTTTGGTCTCCAAATCTGTATCTCGAAATACAACGTAGCGTACTAGAACGATTTA